CAGGTGTCTACCAGGTTCATGGCCTCCTAATCTATGAAATCATACAATGTGCAAACTCAGACACATTTTGAGAGTGAAAGGGAGGGTTTAAACTACTTACAGGAATTAATTGATCTATAATAGGCATAAACCATAACTGTCCCATGAAAACTAGGGTATGAGATCAACGTACCCAATTCCATCCTTGGCTAGCCTACTGTCTTCCCACAGTTGGGACCAAGCACTATGGCTGATGAGTTTGAGCAAGCTCCGGGAGTTGGTGGTGGACAGGGAAGACTGGCAAGCTACAGTCCATGGGGTCGCAAAGAGTTGGACACATATGAGAACTGAACTGAACTGAACTGATCTATGGCTGATACTTGTTAGCCCTAAAATTCACGTTCCCTGGATCAATGTGCTATTTCTCTGGGGACCTAAGCATTCTGGCCCTTTACTCTGAGATAACATCCAGGCAGCTCAGCTGCTGGCTTATCCAACTTCATGTTCCAGTTACATGGATACTAACAGGGCATTTTTTTGTCTTTGCCTTGGGAACCAGTCCTTTAACATGACACTCTCTTTCCAGGACCCCTCCTATACAAGGACTCATCCAGTTCTGTGCTCAGTTCCCATGCAGTGGCTCAGGCCAATCTCTATAGACAGATACCCTTTTACCACTAAGTGTCACTTGACCTGGATTCATTACTGACCTCTACCAAGGTAAAAGTATTGCCCATTGGCCTTAAGTCTTCCAGTGCCCTTTCACCGTCATCACCGCACCCTTCAGAATTTGAATTCTACTTTGCAGGACTAGACTGTCTCTAACAGTGGATCACTGCCTCCCACTCACGAGATAGGCTCCTTTCCAGTGAGCCTGCTGTCCTGCAGCAGTTAATGAAGCCAAGCCAGTCTGCTGTCTTTTTCTCCCAGAACTTTGTTGAGGAAAGTGTCCTTCCAGTGGGTCTGAGGAAGTCTGTGCACCTGTCCTGGCTTCTGACCACCTGATTCCTACACTCAGCCTTGCAGACACTCTACAGTCTGACTATACATACCCTATAAATCAGTCCTACACTTTGGCCATAGACAGTCTACAGTGGAATGACATTGAATCTAGCAGATCCAGGTTCAAATTCCAACTACACAATTTATTTGCTATGTGGTGTGAATAAGCCCCTTAATTCTCTTAAACTCTCTGTGCCTCCTGACCTATCAAATAGCTTATGTACCTTCCTGTGAGGATTAATTATATTATATGTAGTGCCTGGTGTAGCATCTTGTAAGAGTAAGTGTTCAATAGTACATGCTTGTCACTATAGTCAGGTTTGATAACATTTTTACTGCAGTGAGGAGTGTGGCCTTGGATAATAGTAGGTTTCAATAAATGAAATTTATGAGATCCCTAATAAGTATTAGTAGCATTTATGTTGTCTATATCCAAGCCTCAGTTTTATCTCTGTTCCATAAGTGGCCTTGGATAAGATGAATATGGATTTAAAAGGCAAACAAAATTGCTTCAGAAGGAAACAAAGCACACAGTTTTAGTATTGTCACTGTGTCACACAGGGATGTAGCCACTCAACCGTAAGACTCCTCCCTCCTCGAAGTCTCAGTGGGAAGGAATTTCAGTCCCTACATGGAGATTTTGGAAGGATGCCCGGCTCACTAACTCCAGAAGTTGAGCCCAAAATGCCTTGGGGGCATTAAGCTTCCTGCCTGTGCCTTTCACCCAGCCCAGCGGCTCTGTGCTGCATTTACCAGCATGGGCAGGAGATCTTCAGGGCTTTCAGGGACAGGAAATCTACTCTCCAACTCCATGCTGACATGAAGGAAGCCCCTGGGCCTGCCTGCTAGAATCCCCTCCCTCCAGGGATGCTATACATTTGACACTTAATAATGGCACAGATCTCCCCAGTAGGACCCCGTGCAAAGGAGAAGGGGAGACTGCTTTCCACTGCACCACCAGAGACACCAGGCGAAGGCTGCTGCAAGGGTGAAGGGGGTGAAGAATAGTGCACTGTGCACTCGTAAGTAGGACTGAGGGATGAGCTAGGTGAATTTCCTTCTTAGGGCACCTCCAAGAATGGACAAGGGATCACCCTAGTCTTCTCTGCCCCACTCCCTGGGGGAGGGAGAGGGGTTTCTTGCCCTCGTAAACAGGAGTAGAATCTCTAGCACAACTTCATGGCCATTTTCAAACTCAAACAGTGGCCTTCAGGAGCACCACCTACCCCCATTCCCTAAATGGGTCCTGGGGCACTCTGGTGGACCCCTGACAAAGGATCCTCTTTCTTCTTTTTCTAAAAAAAAAATATGTTTTTATTTATTTGACTGCACCAGGACTTAGTTGCAACATGTGGGATCTAGTTCCCCAACCAGGGACCAAAGTTCGGCCCCCTCCATTAGGTGTGAAGAGTCTTAGCCATGAGACCACCAGGGAAGTCCTTCTTCTTTTTTTCTTGCCTACTAGAAGAGCAGAGGCTGAGAAGGATAGTGAAGGGTTGGCAGGAGGAGAGGAGAGCAGATATTAAAAACGGAGCTCTCATAGTTCAAAGGCCTAATGTAATTGTTCCTTCATGTGTGCCTTTGAGGGAGGCAGCAGAGAGAGCAGTGGCTAAGAGCCTGGCAAGCTGTGCACCCAGAGAACCTAGCATAAGGCCTGGGACCACCACTCATTAGCCTGGAGGAAGGCAGAGCAGAGTCTGGTCTTAAAGCAGAGAAAACTAGTCCTGGAACAGGGATTCAGAAGAAATCTGTTGATCCCACTGAAATACTGTAGAGAGAGAGGTCTAATGGACACAGCCTCTGCCTGTAGCCTGCCTGGGAAGACAATACAAAAACCCCACAAGGCTGACTGGTCAGGTGAGGAGGAGGGAACCCCAAACTGGGCTTTGAGGGCTGGTGGGATGTGAGGAGAAAGAAGGGATCATGGGAGACATTCCAACAGATAAACAGCTCAAGGGAAGAATGGTGAGATTTGCATGTCATATGTGGTAGGTGCTGAGAAAGCCAGGTAGCTTGGAGGATCTGTGGGTCAGAGGAGGGGCCGCCAAGATGCTTAGATGAGGATGTTTTGGTGATCATGCTGTTAGTATCATGGCTCAGAACTCTCACTGAGTCGTAGAAAATCCTATAGACTTGAAAATTGGTCAGAACCAGAAGAGAAATATCTTAGTATAGTCTAAGGAGGAATGAGAATGGGCATGAGAGATGAAGCAGTATCTGCTGGTGCGTGGACCAGGAAGGCAGGCTAGTTAGGGGCTCCTGAGAAAGCCCAGATCCAGATGTGGACTAGTGAGAAGGAGGTTGTGAGCCTCTCCCCATTCTCATCCCTCATCCTTCTGGCTTTAGAGTTTGCTGTTTGCACAGCTGACAAATCCTTGTCTCTTGAATGTGACCCCTCTCAAAGTCCAAGATGCTGAGCTTCCCTAGTTCTCTTCTCTTCATAAACATTCCTGACCTGAATAATTTTCCTTCTTCTTCCAGTTACTGGTGTTCCCTAAAGCTCAGCACAAAAATATCACACTCTTCTCTTGCTCATAGCCTCAGACAACTTCTTCATCCCTCACTCTTCACCAGAATTTTGCAGCAAGCAGTCCTCATAGCCTTGTTTTCAGTGCTGTCCTCTGGAACTTAGATGCTTGAAAATGTCACGATGGCTCCTCAATTCTCCCTCCATTCCTACTTCCACTAAGCCCCCCTTACATAAATTGCTACCATTTATTGAGCACTTTCAATGGACCAGATGGATTTCACACAAACTCCATCTGGAGGAGGTATTACAGATAAAGCACAAGGACCCTGAGAGGCTAAGTGACTTAAGAGTGGTTAAAGAGGATACGAGATGAAGGTGTGTTGACACCTGAGTCTATGCTCTCTTCTCATGTCTCCAACTCCTGGAAGGAATCTCCTGCTAACACAACCCTGTTCGGCTGACTGCTCGGCCCAGCCCTCCCCTTGGTTCTCATGACACTGATGCAATCACAGTTCTCCAGCCAGGTGTTCCTTGGACCAAAGAATAGCAGACCCAGAAGAGTCCCTTGGAGTCGTCAAGACCAAAAGAGTTACCCAAAATCACACAGCGAATTAGGGACTAGCCCCACTCTTCTGATTTCCAGAGTCCTCCCACTTATACCAACACTTTTACTTGTCTAGTGTTGGTATTTTTCAAAATTTATTGACATGGGATATCTCATAAGCTTTTTTCTATTACCCTGTGCCATGGATGTTTCATTTCTAACAGATGGGGATACTGAGGTCAATAGGGGTGAAGGGACTTGCCCAAATTCACACAGATGGGTAATTGACAGCCTTTGGACATTTAGGAAGAGCTGAATTTAAAATATTATCATAGGGTGGTAATTATAAGGATTCGACAGAAAATCCCACAGATATCCAATCACAGGCCTCAGAGCAAGTTAGGAATCAAAATCATGCTTTCCATTTCTCGGGGCTGTGAGGTCTCTGCTCTCCTTCCTAGCATGTCGGCTCTCATCTCTGCAAGACCTCCACTGTTCTCTACAACTCCAGCTCCCCTGTGACTTCAGGTCGCCAGCACAGCAGCTCTGGGTTGACTGTACCTCAGGCACCGACGACCCAGTGACACAGACTTTCAGTGTCATCATTTAAAATTTTCAGCAGAGAATTGTTCTCCAGACCAAGACAAGAACATGCACTTGGAAGCATTCAGCAGTGATCAGAGGCTGGCTGGGTTCCTCTGCTTCAGACATAGCTATCTAAAGCCTTGCCTTCTATAGGTGAAGGTGGGTTCCAGGGAAGGACCGGTGAGCACTCAGGCATCTCATATTCTTTTACAGGCATAAATCCAGATCTTCCGATGGCTCTCCCAGTTCAGGAGCTGCCCTAGTTTACTACACCTTTCACCCAACTCAACAAAGATTTGACTGAATCTCAAGCTACTGTGCAAGGGGCTGTGTGTGGCTCTGGTTCAGTCAGCTGTGTCCTCCCTCCCCCAAGGCTGAGGACAGAACAGACCGTCTTTATCTCCTAATAGGCAGACCACCATGTACAGCCTTGGCAAGGAGAACCACAGCTCTGTCTCTGAGTTCATCCTCCTTGGCTTCTCCAGTGAGTCTCAGGTCAGAATGGCTCTGTTCACGTTCTTCCTTCTTCTCTACTTTATCACCATTTTGGGCAATGGACTCATCATCACCCTGATCTACTTGGATACACACCTCCACACACCTATGTACTTCTTTCTCAGCATCCTCTCCCTGGTAGACATGAGCTATGTCACCACCACTGTGCCCCAGATGTTGGTTAATCTGGTATATCCAGGGAGGACCATTTCCTGGGGAGCTTGTGCAGCCCAGATGTTCATCTTCTTGATCCTGGGCATTGCTGAGTGTGTCCTCTATGCCATTATGGCCTATGACAGGTATATGGCCATCTGCTTCCCCCTTCACTATACTATACTGATGAGTCATCCTATTTGTATCAAGATGGTCACAGTCTGTTGCTTCATTAGCATAGCTGGGGCCCTGATCTATACTGTCTTCACCATGCGTCTGCCTTATTGTGGCCCCCACAAGATAAACCACTTCTTCTGTGAGGTCCCTGCTGTCCTGAAGTTGGCTTGTGCAGACACCTCCCTCAATGACCAGTTGGACTTCATCTTGGGTTTCATCTTGCTTTTGATACCACTTTCCTTCATCCTGGTCTCTTATGTCCGCATCTTTGTCTCCATCTTAAGCATGCGCTCACCCCAGGGGAGACTCAAGTCCTTCTCTACGTGTGTTTCCCATATCACTGTGGTCACCATGTTCTATGGGCCAGCCATGATCATGTACATGAGGCCTGGGTCATGGTATGATCCAGAGAGGGACAAGAAGCTGGCCCTTTTCTACAATGTTGTCTCTGCCTTCCTCAACCCCATCATCTACAGTCTCCGGAACAAAGATGTAAAGAGGGCCTTTCTGAAAGTACTTGGCCAGAGAGGGACAGCTCAATGACCCAGGGTGTTTCAGACTTGTCCAGAATCATGGGCAGACTTGATGAGGCTCATGTGGTATCATGAAAGTACATCAGGTTCTGGCCAGCATTTCTGGCCAGAAATTTTGAGCTACCCAAAAAAGGTGAGGTCACCCTGAAGTTCTCCCCACTGGTTGGAAAATTTTCAGCTGCTACCGCCCACAGACTCAGTCGAGGATTTAAGACGAAGGATTTGATTTACAATAAGTATGTCCTTATAGTCCAAGGTTATTGCTTTATTGTTTTTCCTTGGTTCTCTCCTCAACTCTGGAAAATTATGTCAGTTCAATATATCATGGCCAAGTGTTTAACATGCATATGTGCTTTTCAATGGTGTAAAGGACTGGGGGTGAAGATGACAAAAATGGTAGCAGATTATGTAGGAACAGTCTTGCATTACTCTCTGACAAGCACTCAGAAGTAATATTAGCATTGCTTTTTGCACTTGGTGGTATAAAATCTAAGTTAGAGTTATTTTAGACATATCTGTAGAACTATATGGCTAATAATATTCTTCAACTTGTGAAACTCTTAGCTGATTTTATATTTTAAATATCATTTTTATTTTCAGAAAAATAAATATACATTTCATAAAAGAAAATACGCGTGTGTGTGTGTGTGTATATATATGTATATAGAAGATACGCGTATATATATATATATATACACACACGTATATATGTATATAGAAGATAAAGAAAATACGTGTGTGTGTGTATATATGTGTGTGTGTGTGTGTGCGTGTGTGTGTGTATATATGTGTGTGTGCGTGTGTGTGTGCGTGTGTGTGTGTATATATATATGTGTGTGTGTGTGTGTGCGTGTGTGTGTGTGTATATACCTGCATCTTTTTTGTTGTTGTTGGCTCTTCTTCATTGTGTGTCTTTGGCTGAGTCTTCGCTGTGGCACATGCACTTCTCTAGTTGTGGGACATGGGTTCTGTAGTTGATGCCCAGGTCTTAGTTGCCCCATGGCATGTGGGATATTACATCCCTGATCAGAGATAGAACCTGGGTCCCCTGCATTGGAAGCATGGATTCTTAACCAGGACAAGCAGCAAAGTTTCCTATGTATCTCTCTTTTTATGTTTCTGTGTATAATGAGATACCAGACAGAGTCATAAATATGCAGAAAGAAATTATAGAAAAGAATATAGCAAAGACCCTATTTTCTCACACTCAAAATAAATGTTAGTATTTTGCCATATTTAGTCTGAGTCTTTTTTATACTTTAGAAAAGGATTAAATAATTACAGGGAAAATTGAAGTTCTCTTTGACTATTTCCAGCTTCTCTGAATCAACCACTTTTATTAGATTGAAGTCTGTTCTTTGTGTTTCAAAGCTTTTGCTTACATATAATCACATCAATAACCAATAGACAAAATTGTTTTTGTATAAACTTAACATTTTATAATGGTATCAAGATATCATTGCCACTATGAAAAAATTTAACTCAGCATCATGGTTCTGACATCCCCCACAGGATACTTAAAGGTCTAAATCATTCTCTTAAGAATTTTAAGCATTTTACCACATCTCATTTATCTAACTCTTTATCATTGGACATTTGTTTAATTTTAATTTTTTTGCTATTTAAATAATATTGTGATAAATTTCTTTGGACATGTCTCCATATGTAAAAAGTTTTCCCAAGACGTATGTATAGCAGTGAATGTAGCAGTTTTTAGAACTTCCCAATTTACTGCTGCTGCTGCTAAGTCGCTTCAGTCGTGTCCGACTCTGTGCGACCCCATAGACGGCAGCCCACTAGGTTCCACCGTTCCTGGGATTCTCCAGGCAAGAACACTGGAGTGGGTTGCCATTTCCTTCTCCAATGCGTGAAAGTGAAGTCGCTCAGTCGTGTCTGACTCTTCGTGACCTCATGGACTGTAGCCCACCAGGCTCCTCCGTCCATAGAATTTTCCAGGCAAGAGTACTGGAGTGGGTTGCCATTGCCTTCTCTGTTCCAATTTACAGGATACCCCTAAATTATTCTTCTAAGTACTGATACCAATCTACAACTTTCATTCTCATCAACCCTTGATAATGTTATTTATCGAAGCCATTCTAAAAGAGTCTATCTCATAGATGGAAAGTGGTGACGTTTTTTGTTTCACTTATAATTCCCTGACTGCTAATGAATTTAACATCTTTTCATAAGTCTGTTGGTAGTATTGTGTAGTGAAGTCAGCCCTGGAGTCAGACTTCTGTATTCTAACTTCAGCTAACCCTTTACTAACTCAGTGATGATGGGTAAGTTACCTAACTTCTGTGAGTCTCAGTTTCCTCATCTGTTAATGGAAAGAATATATTATAGATCTCAGAGGGGTGTTAGAAGGATTAAATGAAATAATGCATGTAGAGCATTTAGCATAATAAAAAATAGTAAGTGTTCAATGAATACAAGATATGTTTACGTTTTCTCATTTATAGTTCATTAAATATTTTGGCTATTTTTCTTTCTCTATTACACACACTGAAAATATCTTCTTGGGAACTTTCATGGAGGTTCAGTGACTGGACCTTTGTACTCTAATGCAGGCAGCGTGGGTACAATTCCTGGTGGAGGAACTAGATTTCACAGATCACAATTAAGAGTTCACATGCCTAAGACCTGGCACAGCCAAATGTATAAAAATTTAAAAAAAAAAGAAAGAAAGAAAATATCTTGTCTGAGTCTATTACTTGTTTTCATTATTGCAAAAGTAGTATATATTTATTCTGAAAACTTTGCATTTATAAATACAAACAAACAACTGTTATCTTAGATTTGGAGACAACTACAATTAACATTTATTTTCTGCTTCTTTTTTATTTTTTAAATTATGAAAGTATGATAACACACTTATAGGAGACTTGGAAAATACAGAACAAAGTTACATATATTTCCACTATATAGTACAATCATTTTTAAGTAGATAAATTAAAATTTTTAGTTGCAGTAAATAACAAGCTGTCAAAAATTAATAGAATGAATACACAAAGTAGAAGGATATAGTAACCTGAAAATCACTATGAGCCAATTCAACATGATTAAGATTTAAACAATTTTCACACAACAGCAGCATACAAATTCTATTCAAGTTCCCTTAGACTAAACTAGGAGACACTGGAACATATCCAGGGACGTAAAACAAGGTGCAAACATTTCATGGTCTAAAGGTATTGAAATTATACAGAGCCTGTTCTCTTATCACTATGGAACTATGTTAGAAATCAGTATCAAAAGAAATTTGAAAATAACCCACATAATTTCAAGTGCAATGTGACACTTACCAAGAAAGATCTTTGACTTAGCCATTGAAAGCCTCAATAAAGTTAAAAGTTTGAAAAAACATAAAGGGTGATTGCAAAGAAGAAAGCATTTAAATAAGAAATTAATATAAAAATGAGAAATTAATATTAAAGATACTTTAAAAACATGTATTTGAAAATTAAATGTCTGCTTTTAAATGTTGTGTGTATCTAAGAAGCCATAACAAGAAAAATTTGATATTTGTAAGAAAATCAAAATGAAAAGAGAATTTATCAGAATTTGTTGCATGCAGCTGAAGCTACTCAATGCAACTAAATACAATATGAAATCTTGAATAAGATATGAAAACAAACAATGGACACTAGCATAAAATTTCATGCAATGTGAATAAAATCTGTACTTTAGTTAATAATACTGCATCACATGTTAATTTCCTGTTTTTTAAACTTTATTTATTTATTTTAATTGGAGGCTAATTACTTTACAAATTGTAGTGATTTTTGCTATACATTGACATGAATCAGCCTTGGGTGTACATGTATCCCAAATCCTGAACCCCCCTTCCACCTCCCTCCCCATTCCATCTCTCAGGGTCATCCCAGTGCACCAGCCCTGAGCACCCTATCTCATGCATTGAACCTGGACTGGCAATCTATTTCACATATGGTAAGATACATGTTCCAATGCTATTCTCTCAAATCATTCCACCCTCACCTTCTCCCACTGAGTCCAAAAGGCTGTTCTTTATATCTGTGTCTCTTTTGCTGTCTTGCATATAGGGTCATTGTTACCATCTTTCTAAATTCCATGTATATGCCTAATATACTGTATTGTTGTTTTTCTTTCTGACTTACTTTACTCTGTATAATAGGCTCAAGTTTCATCCACCTCATTAGAGCTGATTCAAATGCATTATTTTTAATAGCTGAGTAATCTTCCATTGGGTATATGTGCCATGGCTTTCTTATCCATTCATCTGCTGATGGACATCTAGGTTGCTTCCATGTCCTAGCTATTGTAAACAGTGCTGCAATGAACATTGGGGTACATGTGTCTCTTTCAATTCTGGTTTCCTCAGTGTGTATGCCCAGTAGTGGGATTGCTGGGTCATATGGAAGTTCTATTTCCAGTTTTTTAAGGAATCTCCACAC